AGAGGCTGTGGGGCTGGCTGGGCGTGGCCTAGAGGTGCCTGATGCAGAAGGTGCAGCTGCTGACAGTCACAGAGATACACAGCTGGGCTCAAAGACTGTGTGTCTGGGGCCCGGGACTTATCGCCTAAGTAAACCCTGTAATTATCTTACAAGCAGCATAATCACGTTGCATTATATTAGTGCAAGCATGAAAACATCAATTTGATAAATACAAACATTTCAAATAAATCACAAGTGGGTAAACCTGTTTCTTCTCCTCTCCCTTCCCTTAGTACACTGGGTCCCTTGAGTATGAAGTTGGAGTGGGCTTCTCTTCTGCCGAGAGCTGAGAGGAGAGAGACAGAGAGAGCAGAATGTGGAGCAGGAAGGAGGAGGTCTAGCCTACCAGTGTTGACAAATGGTCAGTTAGCAAGGACAGGTAAGGCACAGCCTGGACCTTGGGGGCAGGAGTGTAAGTTAGCACTTATTTGGAAAGCAGACCAGTGCATCCTTTGGTCCAGCTGAAGTGTGTGCACCACAGGACTGACTCAGCCATTCTGTCTGGGTCCAGGCCTGAGCCAAGTTCACGCTCATGTGCATCAGGATGCATGTACAAGACTATCCACAGCAGCACTAGAAATGAATGACCTTCAACAGGAGAGTAGGCTGTAAAGACAGGTGCATGCAACGGATACTAGATCGCAGCTTTATTTGACCAGTGGCAAGTTTGCCCCTGGAGGCCATTCAGTAATCTGAAGATTTTTTTTTTTTCTTTTTTGGTACTGGGGACTGAACCCACAACCTTCCGCATGCTAGGCAATGCTCTATCACTGAATACATCCTCGGCCCTTTTTATTTTTTGAGACAGGGTCTCACTGAGTTGCCCAGGCTGGTTTCGAATTGAGATCCTCCTGCCTCAGCCTCTGAGTTGCTGGGATTACAGGTGTGCACCACCATGTATGGCTCAGTTTTTGTTTTTTAAAAGTGGGTGAAGGGGTGCTACTTCCATCCAATGGGTAAATGTTGGTAAACATTCTACAATGCTTAGGACAGCACCTGCCCCCCAACTCCCCTCCACTAATTAAAGATCTATTGGGTCCAAAATGTCAACTGAGGGGCTGGGGTTGTAGCTCAGTGGTGGAGCACTTGCCTAGCATATGTGAGGCACTGGGTTTGATCCTCAGCACCACATTAAAAAAATAAACGAATAAAATAAAGGTATTGTGTCCATCTACAACTAAAATAAATTTTTAATTTGAAAAATTTTTAAAATATCAACTGAGCCGAGGTTGAGCAACTTGGTATACAGCTGTGAGAAGGAATATTCTAAGCTACATATGCCATCATAATAATGAGTGGAAGTGGCAGGCTGCAAGTGTAATGTCACTTAAATAAATTTCAAAAGCATGCAAACATCCAGCACTGTGTCACAGGGGGACTGCGGTAAGCCTGGGGCAAGTGCATCATCGCACAACATTCAGAGCCCTGGCTGTTCTGGGAGGGGGAGGGGGAGGGCTGGGGTGGATTCCTTCAGCTGGGTGGTGGGTTCCCTACTCCCTGCTTATTAACTAATCCATTATGAAAATAAGTGTATCAAGGTGAGAGTTAGTCCTGTGAAGAGCTCAGAAGGGTGGTAGAGAATTTTGGTGGCTCCAGCTTTGAATTGAGGGTCAAGGAGGGGTGTAGAGGCCAGCACCTCCAATCCATTCTTTTATCTCCACTCCCAGGCTGCTCCAGCCTGACTCATCTGACCTCAGAGGCTCCTTGATGTCTCTCTGCCTCTCAGCTGCACATCCCCTAATGCCTCCAGGCTCTGACTCTCTAATCAAACCTAAGTCTGGCCAGGTCTCTCTTCTGGGCCTTCTGGTTAGACCTGAGGTACTTTACCAGCATAGGAGGCTTTCTGGACTTCAGCCCCACTACCTCCCTACAAAATCCGTGACTCCAGCCAACTGTGGGGTGAATGAGTGTTCACTCCTACAGACCTCCAGTTGCAGCTCTTGCCCTTTCCCCTCCCACACGTGGAAACAAGGACACTCCATTACTGAGCTCTGTCTGGAGGTGCTGTATCACCTGCCTTCCTGGCTTTCTCTGATTACCATTTCTCCCGCTGACCCTGCATTTTGGAGTATTTTATCTACCATGTGTTAGCATGGTGGGGGTTCTCAACCCCAGCCACCTCTTAAAAACACTGTGTGGCTCAGACCTGACACCTACGTGCCAGGGATGGTGGCAGAGCAAGCTCTGTTCTAAAGGCTCTCAACTTTCACTGAGCAGCTCAAGGACTGTTGGAGCTCCAGGGTTTGATTTTACTTTGCATGACAAAGCATAGATCTTGTGACTAAAAGCTAAAAGAAGCTCTCTTGGCATTTCACCATGTTGGTTCTGTTGGAATGTTATGGGGGGCATATGCCTCTGGTTGGACCCCAGCATCCAGGACCCTCAGGGAGGGGGCTCTGCCCTGGAAGTCCCTCTTGCTTTAGAACCCTGTTTCAGCCTTGGGCCCTCTCACTCCTGCCATCTTGTCCTCTTCTGCCCAACCATGTCCTTCCTCAAGCCACACAAGAACCCCACCTCTAGCACCTTGTCTTGGCTCTTCAGGGAGGATGTTAGCAAAGTCCTGGAGGCTCTTGGATGGGGCACTCCTGTCTGAGCACTCTGCAGGTGATAACCCATTTAGGTAAAGGCTGCATTTGGTCTCAGCTGAAGCTGTGGACTTGGAAGATCAGGGTGCAGGCCATGGGAGAGGATAGCACAAAGCAGAGAATCATCTCAGCAACTTCCCTGGTGAGTTAGGGTGTCCTGTAGTGTGTCCTGTGACCAGCCCTCCTGGGAACAATTGCCTGTAATAGACTTAGCTCTGGGTAAGCCTCTGGGCAGCTGGTTAATATTGGCTTTCTGGGGGTTAAAACATATCTGCAGCTTCCTCAGGCACAGTATGAAACCCTCTCCTTCTCTAAACGCAAACTGGGCTGGGCTGGGCTGGGCTGGACAGGCAGAGCACAGTGCTCCAGCAGGAAGGACACCCTCTATTCAGCACTGACTCATGTGTGCTGAGTCTGGGGAACCTCAACACCAGGGTATAACCTTGGAAGCACTTTGCCTAGCCTGGCCTCTCTCCATCACCCTCTCCTGACCATCTACCTGGAAAAGGGGGTAGGTAGGTAGGTAGGGGACCTGGTACTGAATCTGGACCTCTCTGTATGGACCCCATCTCTTTTTCACACAGGTGCCAGACAGAGCCTCTTAAAAGGTAAGCCAGGTCATTCTACTTCCCTACTGAATAGTATCCCCTTGGCTTTCCCAGCTGCTTTAGACCCTGCATGATCTGGCCCTCTCACCCCTGAGAGCATCTCTCACTCAGGGCAATTCTAGGGTCTCTGCCCCAGCTATTCCCTCCACCTAGGACGCCCTTCCCCCTTCCTTCTTCCTCATCGCCCAGATCTAAGCTTCTATAGTCGTCCTAAGTCTCTCCCTGACCGGGAGATCTAAGGCAACTGATGATCACTTTTTGTGACAGCAGCTGTCTTAATTCCCTGCACAGTACTTAAGACAGTCCCAGTTATCTTGTTTATTATCTTCTCCCCCCTCCTTCTCCCAGAATGCCTGAATCCCCAGAGGGCAGTGGCTTCTGCTGTCCTGTCCCATGCAGAACCCCCGGGGCTGGGGAGGGAAGTAGGGGCTAGAACAGGTCTAGCAGAGAGCAGGCTCTTGGCACACAGTTGTTCAATGAATGGTTGAGCAAACCCAAATGGGGACATCAGCTGCTGCGCCGGCGCGCGCTCCAGGCCGTGGGCCGCTCACGATAGCGTGCGCGGGTTTTTATCTCCTGGCGAGTCCCAGGGGAGGGACACCTCCCTCCGCCGGCTTTCGGCAGACGCGCGGTAAATGAGCTTTGGGGACCAGAGGATAATAGCCTCTAGCGTGGGAAGATCGGGGTGCCCCGCACGGTTGCTGGTGGCAAGGGGATTCTGCAGTCGCTGATCTTCCCCGGACTCCGACATTAAGGCCCCAGTGGAAGACTTTCTCCACCTTTCCCAGTGGTTTCCACAGCGCGAATTGCAGATTCCCGTCCGATCCCAGGGATTTAGCGGTGGAATGGGTGAAAAAGTAGGGCTTTGAGCGCCGCTCCCACAGAGGGGCAAGTCTCGGAGCTCTCGCCCCATCGTGGCTGGGACCACGGTACGGATCTTGCTCCGGGACGCGGCTGGCAAGGCCCTGGCCATCCCGGGAGCAGACGCCGAATCTAACCCTGGGCCAGTGGAAGCGCAGTCCCACTTCGAGCTCTACGAGAGAACCCGGGTGGAGATGGGGGCGGAGGAACCCGGGGGCAAGGAAAGGGACAAAGAGCGGCCCTGCCCGACCCCCCACGTAGGAGTCCTATTGTTCGTCAAGTCTCACTCGGTGCCGAACTCGGGTGCCCTCGGGAGGCGGGGGGAGAGCTGTCGCCTATATTCTAGGCATTTGTTTATTAGGGGTGAGAAAGGGAGGGCGGGGGACGCGGGTACGGGAGGGGGCTCGGGTCCCATTACCGCGCGTCGCCTTTAAGGGAAGCCCTGCCCTACCTTTCCCACCGTCCCCCTCCTCTCCCGCGGCCGTACCTGCATTTTAAAAGCGCCCTGTAGCCCTGGGATTGGCCAAGGCCGCGTCCTCCCGGCGCAGAAACTTGAACCGTGGGGAGGCGGGGGGGTGGATGGAAACCCAGCGGACGGACAGTACCATCTCCACGGCTTCCCCCGCGTGTGCCCCTCCTCTCCCACACACCCCCAGAGAGGCCCAATCGGACGGGCGAGAGGGCGGGACCGCGGCTCCAACGCGCCTTTGGCAGGGCGCCGGGCGGGCGGGCGCACGGCAACGGGGGACGTGGGGGCCGGCCGCGCCTCCGCCCGCCCCCCGCACTCCTCCGGAGGCGGGGCCGGCCCGCGGCGCCCCGCCCCCTCCCCGCCCGGGGTGGGCGGAGCGGCTGGGGCTCCGGGAGCTGGGCCGGGGGCGGTCCTCCGCCTGCTTCGCCCGAGCCTGGAGAACCCCGGCACCGCGGCCGCCGACGCAGCAGTCGTCCTCGCTCCAGAGCCCTGAGGCGCGCGGGCTCCCGGGCGGCCCAGGCGGGTGCTGCGTGAGGGCGCGTGAGGCAGCGTGGGGCTGGCCGCAGGCGCCCCTGTCCGTCCCCCGCCCGCTCGCTAACCGGCCCAGCCAAGCCCCCGCGCGGGGAGCGCCGGCCCGGCGAGGGCGAGGGCGATGCCGCGGTGACGGCCCCGCCATGGCGAAGCCCCCGGCGGGGGCGGCGTCGGCGTCGGAGGAGCTGAGCCAGGTACCGGACGAGGAGCTGCTGCGCTGGAGCAAGGAGGAGCTGGCGCGGCGGCTGCGGCGCGCGGAGGGCGAGAAGGTGGGCCTCATGTTGGAGCACGGCGGCCTGATGCGCGACGTGAACCGGAGGCTGCAGCAGCACCTGCTGGAGATCCGCGGCCTCAAGGACGTGAACCAGAGGCTGCAGGACGACAACCAGGAGCTCCGAGAGCTCTGCTGTTTCCTCGACGACGACCGGCAGAAGGGGCGCAAGCTGGCGCGTGAGTGGCAGCGCTTTGGGCGCCACGCGGCCGGCGCCGTGTGGCACGAGGTGGCCCGCTCGCAGCAGAAGCTGCGGGAACTCGAGGCCCGCCAGGAGGCCCTGCTGCGCGAGAACCTGGAGCTGAAGGAGCTGGTACTGCTGCTGGACGAGGAGCGCACTGCCCTGGCTGCGGCGGGGGGCGCGGGCGGCAGCGGCGCCGGAGGTGCGGGCTCCCGCAGCTCCATCGACAGCCAGGCCAGCCTGAGCGGGCCACTGGCGGGCGGCGCGGCGGGCGCCGGGGCCCGCGACGTGGGCGACGGCAGCAGCACGTCGAGCGCTGGCAGCGGCGGCAGCCCCGACCACCACCACCACGTCCCACCCGCTCTCCTGTCTTCTGGGCCTCACAAGGCTCCCGACGGCAAGGCTGGAGCCACACGCCGGTCCCTGGACGACCTGTCGGCTCCGCCACACCACCGCAGCATCCCCAACGGCTTGCACGGTGAGGATAACCACCTGCCGCCCTGTGCGGGTTCGCAGGGCTGCAGCCGCGCTGGCGGCTCGGGTTCGTGCCGCCCTGGGGTGGGGAGAGGCGCTAGTCCTGGACCCGGTATCTTCAGCTGGCGTCGCACTCGGTCCGGGCGAACCCAAATTCACCTGCATGGGGCTTTGGGTGGGGGTAGTTGGTCAAGTGATGATGCGTGTTCCTGTCCAGGTTAGAATCCGCGGCAGGCGCTGTCCTAGAAAAGTTTCTAGCCTGCGGAGTTGTTACAGTGTTACAGTGCAGCACGGCGGCGCTGGCCGGGGGGCTTCATCCCAGGTTGGAAATCCTTGTCCCGGGACCCAAGGATCTTCATGAAAAAAACTGAAAGGCGCTTTGGGGCACAAAAGAATTTCCCCATACTTGGATGTCCCCCAACCTCAAGGGACATCCGCAGGGGTGCTGTGACTGCATTGCGCCTCTGCTTTCCCCAGCTGCATCCTGGGCTCTCACGGGGCTGACAGACCAAAGGCAGGCTTGACACCTAGGCTGCTGACCAGAGTTCTGCACTTCTGGCCGGGGGTCCTTCTCAAGGCTCTGAGATTTAGAGATGTAGTTGGAATGGATTCTGGCTTTTCGCCTCTGTGTGCCTCAGTTTCCTTAGTTGTAAAGTGGAGAGGATGATCCCTGCCTCCTGGATTTGTGGTGGAGATAAGGCTCCTGAAAGGGTTTGTAAACTGTTGACCGCCTTACAGGAAGTGCAGCGGTCATCTGTGGCTAGGGTGTGGATGGGAGGATCTTCAGGAAGGCACAGCACTATCTTCAGCCATGTTGCTGCAGAGGGTGTCCTGCTCTGGGGTCTGGGAGCCCAGCAGCCTGCCCCTGTCCCTGCCTCTGCCCTGCCCGTTCCCTCCTCTCCTGCCTGGTGGATGACGGGCCTCCCTGTTCTTTCACGTTTTTGGAGGCTTCTTCCTGGTTCTGATGGCAGTTGCTACTGCCTGAATTATTTTCCTGGTGGTGGGGGACAAGCAGCTCTTTCTGGTTCTCCTTAAAGCTTTTTCCCAATTCAGAGAAATATATATATATATATATATATGCTTTAAGTAACTGCTCGTCCTCAAAGTGACAGCCTGAGCCATGGAGGGACACTTTCTCTTTGGTTTGATAACTGAGTGACTCTGAAAGCATATTGCGGGTGGGAAAAAGAAGAGTGGAGGTTATACCTGTGGAGGTGAGGGACAGCATAGCAGATTTTCCTTTATTTACCCCCTAAGCCTGAGTTCAAGGCAGGTCTGGGTTTGGAGGGATATTTTGTTACTGATTAGCCATCTACCACTACAACTCAGGTTTCTTTTTGTAACACTACAACCATCCCGCCTCCAATCCCAGGCTTCTTAAAGCCAGCTCCAGTAGCTCAAAGTTAGGTGGTTTAATTTTGGGGGGAATGCACCTGTTATTTAGAGTTCCTTGGCCCCTTTGACCTCATCTTTGGGAAGGTCAGTTTCCTGGGCCTCAGTTTCTCCAAGTGCAGTTAAGGAGGGAGTGTTTGCAGCCTTCTGTCTGGAAATGAAATGTTTCTGGTTTTCAGCTGCGTCATCCATGACACTTGGCAAGAGCGATTCTCTGCGGGACTGCGGAGGGCTTGAGTGTCCTAGCTGATGTGCTGGGAAGGTCTGGCATGTTTTGTGCAAGGAGACACATCTGGGTCTGGCCCAGAGTTTCAGTTGCAGCAGTGAATAATGCAGGAGAGGAAGGCTAGGCTAGACTCCGGGGTTTTCCACCCCCTGGGCCCTGGTAGGTGTGGAGGTATCAGGTTTCCTGCAGAATCCCCAAGTCCCAAGTCCACTTGGAACAGGTCTGCTGCAGATTTTGTAGCTGCAGATTTTGTAGCAGCAAAGCTTTGCTTTGGGGGAAAATGAAAACTCGGCATTATTATCATCACAAATTTCAGTTACAGCTGGGATTTCTTGTTTTGTTTTGTCTTTTAAAGCCATGGGTGGCCTTGAGATGTTCTCCTACCAATAGGAACAGAATGCCCAGGACCAGGAAAGGCCCTTCTCTAGAAACCAGGCTTTTCAATCCTGGGACCTGTAGCTTTAAGTTGGCGAGGTTCATGGCTGAACTGAACGAGGAAAGGAGCCTCTGTCCAGGTACTGGTGAAAGTGGAGAAGGTAGTGAGTGGGCTTGTGCCTTGGTTCCTGGGCTCAGTTCATGCTCACAGAGGTAATATTAGCCTCGCTTTGCAGACATGCAAGTGGAGGCTCAGAGAGGTTCTGGCCTTGCCTTGGAAGACAGCTGCCATTGGAAGTACTTGTCCTAGGTGGGGTCTCCATCAGGTCATCTGCTCTGGCCTGTCGTCATTCACCTTAGCTATCAGTCAGGGCACCCTGGTGGGTCCCCATTCTTGATTCCTGACCCAGTGTTGCCCTCTTTCTCTATGCTGGGAGCTGTCACTTCCTTTGGTGACCGCTGAGCAGATGGTGGAGAACCCCCTTCCCAGAGCATCAGGCTGCCTTGCTTAGAATCTTGGCTTCTTCACCTGCCTTGGGCAAGTTAGTCCACTTTGCCCAGCCTCTCTCTGCTTCTCTTCTGGAGGGTGAGGCAGAACCCAAAGGGCCCCTTTACTCACACGAGGTCAATGAGGTCGGCCTCTGTACACTGTGGGTCTCAATAGTTGCTGGTGTCCTGGGAGCTTGTTAGACATCCCTTGGCTTCACTGCCAGACTCTGCTTGCAGTTTAGGTAGCCTGCCTGAAGGTTTGCACCTGAGCTTTATGTGTAGCTACACCTGCTGCTGGACTATCGTGGTCCCGAGTCCTCTCTGGGGAGGCTTCAAGTGGCAGTGGTGGGACATGGCCATCTGTATTCAAGGCAGTCCCTTGGCTGAGGCAGGCCTGGCGGGCCTGTGAATGTGTATGCAAATAGGACTCTCTCCTGAGCAGTTTTTGCTGGAGGTCTGGCCTAGGCTGTCTGAGGTCTGGACCAGCTAGGATGCTATTTGCTCCATGCCAGTGTTGTACTTTGAGAAGCTCAAATGACAGAAAGTCAGGTTCCCCCCTGGAACTGATGTGATCTGCAAACAAAAGAATTTTCATTTCTTTTCCCTGCCCTTCCCCCACCCTGTGAACCCCATTGCTCCTCCTTACCCCCAGACCTGTCCTGCCCTCCTCATGCCCCATGACTTGTTCCCTTGTGGCTGACCCAGAGAAACCTCTGGCAAGCCCATGAATGGGTGCCATTTACTTTTTAAAGTTTGGGTTGAAATTTTGAGCTTCTCAAAAGGAGCTGGGTTTGTTCTCCGGCTTGTGTTTTTAAAAGGGAGGGTGGGGCAGGGGTAGTTTGGGCCTTTAAAAAAAGACAGAGTATACCAGCCCTGAATGGGCCTTTTCTGTGGGGCCTGTGTGTGGCTAATAAGGCCGCCTCTCCTAAGCCCAGCTACCCGGAGCAAAGGTCACTGAAGATAATGGGGTGAGTTGCATAAGCTTCTTCCTCCCTGCACCTGACCCTGAGGGATCTGTCCATGGCCTTGGAGTTCTGGCCCCCCCCCCCCACCATGCACAAAAGAGGGTCCATCTGAGGAGCTGTCAGTCAGGGGGCCCACCCAGCGCTTTACAGTTTCCCGCAAAGAGCTTTCTAGTCATTCTGCTTCCGAATGGTCCCAGGATGGAGGCCTCAGCACTGGGGAAATTGAGGCTTGATTAGGTGTGTGGCTCTAGGTCTTGGCCTTTGGGGCCTGGGATGAGTCTTGGGTCTCCTGTGCCAGCAACCGGAGCCTGTTGCCCTGTTCCTGCTGCCCAGCAAGTTCTGGGGGCGAGGCCGTGTACAGAGCAGGGTGGCTCCTCTTCCGAAGGCCCTGAGCCCTTTCCTGCCATCCTGTTCCCTGCCACAGGTGCCTGTGTAAAGGGGTGACCCTCCTTCCTTGTGATTCTTGCGTTCCCTCACTCCTCTGCTCTGGACTGGCTTCTCACGGCAGTGCTCATGAGCTCCCGGACCCAATATTGTCCCAGGACCAGCACGCTCTGGGAGGAAGTCAGTTGTTGCTCGGCTCTCTCTTCTACCTGTGGGCTGTTAAGCACCACGTCTGTGCTGCTCATTTGCACAGCGAACGTCTAACTTTAGGCAAGTTCTTGAACCTGTGTGGGACCTCTGTTTTCTCTCTCTCTCTCTCTCTTTTTTTTTTTTTTTTTTTGTGGTGCTGGGGATTGAACCCAGGGCCTTGTGCATTTGAGGCAAACACTCTGCCAACTGAGCTGTATCCCCAGCCCAGGGCCTCTGTTTTCTCATCTGCAAAGTGGGAAAACATGAGCAGACCTTGGGTTGAGGGAAGAGGGAGTGTGCTGACCTGTGAAAACTGCAGCTAACCTCCAGGCGACAGCACTCAGCTCTGGGCATGACCAGGGCAGTGTCGCTGCTGGCTGGGGCCGGGGCTCTGGCTCCAGGGTCAGAGAGCTCTGGGTGAATCTGGCCTGGCTACTGTTCTGTGACTTTGGAGCTTACCAAGCCTTCTCAACCTTGGTGGCTTCATCTGTATCCTGAGAATAATAATATCCTGGTCCTAGAAATGGACTCTAAAGGATGGGTTTTGTGATCTTCCATCTTTGGCCTGGCCTCCTGTGGATTGGCCTCTCTGGGGCGTGGGCGGGGAATCACCAGACACAGGTCGTGAGTGGGGCCCTTGTACCCAGCGCTGTCTCAGAGCCAGGGTCCTGGTCTAATTGAATAGAAGGAAGATGGCATTCCGCTAAGGTCTGGAAGTGGGGTCTGGACCAGGGTTTTGAGAGCCCAAGGCCTGAAGAGCACACTCAGGTCATGGTGGGGGTGGGGGTGCTGTTTGTCGCCCTTAGGTGCCAGGATTGGGGGTGAGAGCAAAGTTCCAGTGGTTCAGACTTCAGCACCCACAAAACGTGGTGAAGGTGGACCAGGTGGGCTCCAAAGCTGGGAGCTCTCCTTTAGGGGAGGTGTGCTAGCACCCACCTGGTGAAGGGCATTCCTGAGCCCCATGTGGATGGGGCTTGTGGACAC